CCAAGCTATGCAGAGCGTGCCCCGCCTCCTCGCAGCACTGCTGGGGCCGCGGGGTCAGTGCAGGGGGTTTGAGCAGACAAGAAAGGCAGCCACTGGTCCTCTCCTGCCAGATCCTGCCACCAGCTTTCCCATTCCCAGGTGTTGCCTACATAATATTTATCCCAAGCACGGCCTGCACTCAGGAGCAGAGAGTTACTTTCAGAGGATTAGCGTTTCAACAGCAGCTTATCTTTCAGAATTATTTTCTCTTAAGCTTGAATAGAAAAGAAATGGATGATATAATCAGGTATTCTAATATGGCATTTGCGATTTTCTAACAAGAAAGAAAAAAGTACCCAGCCAGTGTGGCTCAGTGGTTGAGTCGACCTATGAACCAGGAGATCATGGTTCGATTCCCAGTCAGGGCACATGCCCAGGTTAAGGCTCCGTCCTTAGCGTGGGCCATGAAGGAAACAGCTAATCAATGATTTTCATCATCGAGCTTTCTATCTCTCCCTCTCCCTTCCTCTCTGAAATCAATTTTAAAAATTTTTCAAAAAGAAAGAAAATAGTAACAGTGCAATCATGACAAGTTGTTCATGTGTGTGGTGAAAGGAGTGTATGTGGGGGAGTGTAGGGTTGTAGGGAGCATGGTGTGTGTGTATGTGTATGGTCTGTGGCATATATGGGGTGTGTATGGTGTAAGTGTGTGTTAGGGTATGTGATATATGTATGTGTATATTTGTGTGATATGTGTGCTATGTGTAAGGTGTGATGTGTGCATGTTACAGTGTGTGGCATGTATGGTATGTGTGGTGCATGTGTGTGTTGTAGGTGTGTGATGTATGTATGTTTGCATTGTGTGGTATGTGTGTGCTGTGTTTGTATAGTGTGGTGTGTGTGTGATATTTCCAGATCAAATTAATAATTCTGTCTATTAATCTCAAAGGAATGTTTTAAACTGTTTTTCAAACCATTTGGACAATATTTACATGTAAGTCATCCATATTATGAGAGTTTTCAATAATTTTAAGAAAAAAGTCAACTCTTAAAATTCTACTTTACATCAAGAAATGCTTTTTAAATCTATAATTAAAATAATTGTTAATATCCCACCATAACAGTACATCCAGGCTGTCTTGGAATAATTTTCTGACGACTGTTTAGTGTGGCTTCTGCTCACAGTTATGGAAGGAATGTGGTGCTAAGAAAAGGAGATTTAAGATACTTTTCTAGACACGGAGGCAAGTGTCTATAAAAATGAAAACTATAAAAAAGAATAAATACGTTTTAGAGTAAGTGCAGCTTATAAAGACCATCTACAGAGAGCAATAGAACATTTATAAATGTTTTTTATACCACCCTAATATCATCAGATTCACAAATGAAAAAAAATAAAATAATTTTTAAAGAGTTCTTAAGAGCAAGGCCATCTTTCCTAAAGAAGAGCAATCAGCACGGCAGGAACGAGTGCCCTGGGGTTTGATGGGTTAATTCCTGGGAACAGCTGTGGCGGGCTGTCCGGGGACGGGGCTGTCCAGGGACGGCAGGCTGCAGGCTGTGGACCAGAGCACACCCTCTCTCCCTCCGCTGATGGCTCCGGGAGCACCAGCCGCACCTCTCACACGGCCTCGATTCCCCCCCTGAGCACTCCCGTCGGTCCTAAGTCTGGTCACTTCTTACCCTGTTTTGCGTGTGGTGTGGTGTGCTGTGATATAAAAAGCCCTTCTTTTGGGGACCCCCAGCACTGAGGGCTCACCCTGTGCATCCCGCAGTGTCGCCTTCCATTAGGCAGGGTCAAGGCTGAACCTCAAGACCATGCCCATCTTCAGACAGCTTTTACCTCTGCAGTGGCCACCCTTAAGACCTGACCGCCAGCTGCTCATGGCTCTCGCCTTCTGTGCCCTGTGATGTGCATGCGTGGCTGCATGTGGTGTGTGTGGTGCCCCTGAATATTGCCTTGAAACTTGCTAAAGACCAGCTGCAGCCCCATGGGCACCGGGGGTCCTAGCCAGCTTGGGTTCTCGGGCAATAGAATTTGAAAGTGAGCAGCAGCATAACGAATACTTTGTATTTCTGTCAGCTCTCTGGTACAAGTTTAAAATAGTTCCCAAATGGAATTGTAATGAAAACATTCATTCTTCTTTGTGGCTGGATTTTCCTTTCCTGTCTGGCAACATTTTCTTGTTCTTTCCCTTCAAGTTACCAAAAGAAAAAGCCAGTGTCAGGTGCGGTGGGTGGCTGGGGTGGGGGTACAAAGGTACAAACCTGGAGGTTGTGTGTGTCCAACCTTCCTCGTTTGCGTGACCATCAGCCACAGGCTCAAGTGGTGGCATGAAGGGCAGCAACTCGCTCTAAGCTTGAATCCTACTGCTGCTCAGGAGGCTCGTCCACTCTAACCCTTAGCTTCTCCACCTGAATACCCTCTGCTCTTCAATAGATGATCCACGCCTTCCAGACCTCGTGTTTTACAGTTCCTACTTTCATGTAACTGAATTAAGTTGAAATATTTTGGAATACTAAATCTATGTTTAATATCCTAAAATTGTAAGCAGGTATTTCTATGAGTGAGAACTATGCTTAGACAGCACATGAATTTTCCAGGAAACTGAAAATCATTTGGGGGTTTTGTTCAATTTAGAAATAAATTTAAATCAAGAATAATAGCTCTGGCAGGTTTGGCTCAGTGGATAGAGCTGTCGTCCTTCGGACTGAAGGGTCCCGGGTTCCATTCTGGTCAAGGGCACATGCCTGGGCTGTAGGCTTGATCCCCAGTAAGGGGCGTGCAGTGCAGAAGGCACCAATCAATGATTCTCTCTCATCATTGATGTTTCTATCTCTCTCCCTCTCCCTTCCTCTCTGAAATCACTAAAAATATATTTTTTAAAAAGAATAATAATGATAAGTTCTCTCCCAAACCCTAAGCCTTTGGTTTATACAACTGATGTGCAGTGAGGTTGAAAGATGGCACTTTGTATCTACCAGGGATCTTTACAAGCAAAGATGCCAACTATTCACAAACCACAAGACTAAATGAAGGCGCTTTCTTTTCAGTTTTGTGATTTTTTTTCAGGATGTTCCTGGTTGTACTAATAGATCAACATGGGCGATGTGGAAATGTGTGCCGACAGGGGCTCCAGGGCCACATGAACCAGGCATGTGCGTGTTTGGCCTTTGCTGTGAGATCTCAGAGCTCTCCAGAGCAACCTGAGCCTATCTCCCCCTGATGCCACTGATCACCACTGAGGATGGACCAGGCGAGGACACGCGCACCGTCCAGACACACGGGCAGCCAGGTCACTGCAGCCCTTTGGCTGAGGCAGGACAAGGCAGACTCAGCTCCCTACCTATTTCAGTACCGGCTGCCGGGGTGTCTCACCTACAGCCACCGCATGGGCCGGCAGGGCGCTGGTCTTACATGTGGGTCGTCACTGCTCAGTCACAACTGACATTTACAGCTGGAAGTCGGCCTTCGTCTGTTCACCTTCTCTCTTCATACAGCGAGAGCAAAGCCCTCAGCCAAGATGAATGATTTTTTTTTTTAAAGGCAAAAGTTTGAGAATTTTCCCTCCACTTGAAAACTACCCTTTCCATTCAACATGATAGATACATAAAGCTTCGCCTGGTTGATCTATTTTAACTGTAGCTTTTTTTTTTTTTTTTGAGATAGCAATTATACTAATATACAGGAAGTAAAATATTCCAGGTATCACTGCTTAAACTCAAAGTTGCCTGGGCACTTTGTTTGGTTTTGTTTTTTGCTTGGCTTGGTTATATATGTTAAAGAAGAACTACAAAGAAAAATCTTTCCTCCTATAACAAATTCAACCATATGTGCATATTTTATGCTGATCTGCGTGCCTTTTGTAAAGCATATTAACCAGTTTGCAAAGCTACTAGTCAGATGAAGATAAATTAAAAAGCAGCTTTTGAGGCCCATTTTTAACGTTGATGATCACATTCCTTTTCGGTGCTTTTTAGATAATTAAAGATAATCCACAAAGTAACCGTTTCTTTTAATATTTTGGTTCCAAAACTACCAAGAGACATTTCACTTGCAGTTGTGATTTGTTGAATTTTTAAGCCAGCTCTGTTGCCAGCACCCGCAGAGGAGGCAGCCTGCGGGTTCTCAGGGGGCAGCACCTGGGGAAGATCTGTGTCTCCCTTCTCTTTAAATAAAAAGTCGTGCCTGGGTGACCAGGCTGAAATAATGCACCCCTGCCCACTCCGGGGCCTGGAGATCTGCCCGAATGTGGCCACCCCTTTGCAAGAGTGGGCAGGCCAGGGCGTCTGTGCAGGTACTTGTTACTTCAACACCACAAGATACTTGCCTAAGAGAGGGCTTTTATAGCCACATAGGACACCGTTCATAATTCTTTGTGTCGGAGGGAAATCTTCCCAGATGCTGCCGCTCAGCCCTCTCATTTGTTTAGCTGGAAGGCTTGGGGGGGGGGGGGGGGGTAGGGGGTGGTGACAGCCCCAAATTTCCCTTCTGCTATAAACCAAAACCTTTCGGTATAATGCGAGGCAGACACCAAAGAAAGCCTCGCTGGGTGAGAAAGTGCAGCCTGTCTTATGTAAAGCGAGACAGCACTCGCCTGCGCCACGAGGGCTGGGAATGCTGGCCCGGAGCGAACCAGCCCCTGCTGCCCGGGCAGGCACACAGAGGCCGGGCCACCCAGCTCTCCCCGGGGTGCTCACCGCGTCCTGGGTGGGCCTGGCGCCCAGTTCCAGGCACAGAGCCCGCCAGAGGGGCCCTGGCCCGACACCTGGCACAGCGAGGGGTGAGGCTGTGCCAGGGAGGTGCGGCCAAAGGAAACCGGGGCAGAGCGAAGTCACCGATTTTAAACCTCCTCCCGGCCCATTCGCCTGCTGTGCCGGTGCCGCGGCCAGGAGAGCCCGCGGAGAAGGAGGCGCACCCCCGGCCCGCAGGCGACCCCCCTCCCCCGGGGCGGACCGCCCGCGCCCGCCTCCCCCCCCCCCCGGCCCGCACCCGCCTCCCCCCTGCGGCCCGCACCCACCTTGGCGGCGTAGGTGACTCCGGCGCCCAGCACCTGGTCGCGGGCGGGGGGCGCACGGGGCGGCTGGTGCCCGGGCAGGCCCCTCCCGGCGGTGCGCGGGGCCGGGCCGCGGGGCGCGGGGGGCGCGGGGTCCGGGGCGGCCAGGCTGGGCGCGCTGCTGCTGCCCGAGAGCCGCGCGCCCCGGCCCCCGGCCGCCCCCCGGCCGCGCAGGCCCGAGCCGGCCAGTCTCAGGTGGGACACCCTGTGGAGCAGGTGGCCCAGGCTGCCCGCGCCATCGCCTCCGGGCGCCGGGCGGGGCGCCGCCGCCGGGACCTTGCCGCCGCCGCTGGCCGCCAGGCTGTGCAGAAGGTCATCGGCCGAGGCCACCGAGTCGTTCCTGAAGCGGCTGTACTTGGCGCGGGGAAGCATGCCCCCCGCGGGCTCCCGCATCCCCGGCGCTGCGGGGGCGGGCTCCGCGGCCCGGGCAGACTCGGCGCCCAGACGGCTCGGGGCCCGCGGGGCGGCGGGTCCGGGGGGCGGGCGGCGGGGCGCCGGGCTCCCCCCCTAACGCCCGGCGCCGCCGCGGCCGCGCAGCCCGCACCCCGAGCCCGGCTGCCCTGGGCGGCTCTCGCGCTTCGCCAAAGTCATAGTTTCCTCCCGGAGCGCCCGGCGACTCCCGGGCTGCTCCCTGCGGAAGCGTGACTCCCCGAGCGGAGCCCCTTCGCCACAAGGCGCGCTGCGATCACTTCCTGCGGGAAAGAGAGAGAACAAGGAGCCACATACACCCACCAGCGCTAGAGCCAATCAGTTCCCACATCTCCCTCTTCTGCCTCCCCAGGTCCTTCACCCAGCCTCTCCCTCTCCCGCCTCCCCAGATCCTTCTCCCAGCCTCTCCCTCTCCCGCCTCCCCAGATCCTTCTCCCCAGATCCTTCTCCCAGCCTCTCCCTCTCCCGCCTCCCCAGATCCTTCTCCCCAGATCCTTCTCCCCAGCCTCTCCCTCTCCCACCTCCCCAGATCCTTCTCCCCAGATCCTTCTCCCAGCCTCTCCCTCTCCCGCCTCCCCAGATCCTTCTCCCAGCCTCTCCCTCTCCCGCTTCCCCAGATCCTTCTCCCAGCCTCTCCCTCTCCCGCCTCCCCAGATCCTTCTCCCCAGATCCTTCTCCCAGCCTCTCCCTCTCCCGCCTCCCCAGATCCTTCTCCCCAGATCCTTCTCCCAGCCTCTCCCTCTCCCGCCTCCCCAGATCCTTCTCCCCAGATCCTTCTCCCAGCCTCTCCCTCTCCCGCCTCCCCAGATCCTTCTCCCCAGATCCTTCTCCCAGCCTCTCCCTCTCCCGCCTCCCCATTCTCCAGAGGGGAGCCCAGAAGAACCAGGCTCCTCGGATGGGCAGAGGAACTTTCGGAGGCCCAGCCCCTGTGCCAGGCTCTCCCCCAGCCCCCTGAGCGAGCCTGCGGATTCTGCGTTAAAATGTGACGAAGCTTTTTAAGAAGCAGTTGTCCAGAGGATACTCATGAATTCCGATTTGGAAAGCAAGCAGGAACTGTTACATAGCAAAATAAAAGCAAAAGAGAAATACTCACTCCCAAGTGAACATAAAACACCGGTTTTCTGGGTTTTCCTTTTCAAATCCACAATGCAGCAGTGACAAGTGTCTTTGTGGCGAGGCGGTCTCCAAAAGGAGCAGGAAAGGAGGTCTGCGTGTGAACCTGTGCGCAGGGCGGTGCGGACCCGCCCCTGCGGGTGTGCGCGGTCTGCGGCCGCCTGAGTCCCAAACCTGCCGCCCAAGACGAGACGCGGCTCTCCTGTGAGGGCAGCAGGCTCCTGAGCCCCTCCAGAGGGCTGTGCTGGGGCTGTATTCCAGCTGAGTGTGCTCAGTGTCCTCAGCTGGGCTGCAGCCTACAGAGGGGGTTGGGGGGAGGGCATGCAGCTGCTCCCACAGATCACCGGAAAAGGCCTCTTCTCAGGACCACCCTGCACAGGCCTCCTTCCTCTCAGGGAGCAGGGAGTGGGGAGCCCCGGAGGAGCTGCGGGCTCACACCCTCCACGCTGTCCCCACGGGCCCCGCCCTCCTCCCCAGGCATCCACAGCGCGCCCGGCACAGTGCTGCCCGCTCCCTGGCCAGGCTCCCAGGGCCTCGGTGCAGGCACATGAATTCACCTCTCACACTACCAGGTCACTCTGAGTCCTCTCATCCCACGACTAGACAAGTGACACAGGATGCCCGAGGCTGCAGAGATCCGTGGGCAGCTGTCACCAGTGCCCCGGGTGGGCGCTGCGGGCGCGGGAGCGCAGGGAGCAGGCCGCCGGGCGCAGGCCCAGAGGACGGCTCTCATCTTTCCCTTCCCCTGGCTGCATAGCAACAGCCAGTGCACACCCCACAGATGGCTGGGAAGGCCATCACAGCCCCCCGAAAATCTACAGCGGAAATGCTCTGTCATCCCCAAACCCTGATCTTTAGACAAAAACAGCAAACTGTGAATGAAATGCTGTTTGTGTGAATGAAGGGCCAGCGAAGGAGCCAGCGTTTCTGTGAATGGAGCCGGCCTTGCAGCCCAGCCAGGCAATCCCTGGCTCCGGGGCCTCCGCCAATGAGCGGCCGCCGCGGTGACTCATTCAGCAAAGGCTGCTCAATGGTGGAAGGTTCCATTTCAATCAAAGGCGGGATCTTTCATCCAAACGCAGCGTGGGGAGGGAAAGAGAAAAAGACAGCCAGCCTGGTCACAAAGGTGCAGGGAAGAAGTGCCTCTGTCACACGGAGAGGAAAAACTGGTCTTTCAAGGAAAATAAAACCCCCCGGGGGGGGGGGGGCGGTAGCTACAACCAGGACTGCCCTCCTGGAGGTGAGCGGTGCCCCCAGACTTGCATTCAGCCATTCATTACCGTCGCGAGCAGCCGTGAATGTGCCATCCAGTTCGGCGTTTATTATGAATGCACAGAGCGGGCACATTCAGAGCCTCGGCGCCTCGCCTGGATCCTTTTTGTGAAAGGAATATAGAGCGCGCCTGCACGTCAGACTCCGAGAAGAAAGAAACCCAAAGCTAGACATTAACCCTTCAGCCAACCGGAGCCCTTCCTTTTATTGTGGTGAGGCAGATGGAAGGAATTGGCCATTTTTAAATATATATAGCAATGTAAATGTACTAAATGTAAAAAGAGCCCTCCCCCCACAGGTAAGATATGTACACATATAATACCTTAATGGAAAAAATGGAAAAAAATAAATGGAAAAAGGTATGTCATCCAAGAGGGTGATTAATAGTCCAAGAGCACATAGCACAGTGAAACCCCACTTCTCAGGAAGAACCCCCAAAGGCAGCTCAGCACCAAAATCGTCCCCACCAGCCCAGCCAGGAGCCGGCCCCTCCCTCCCGGGACAGCCCGGGGCCTCCCTGAGCTGTGCCTGCTTGTTTAGACACCGTCCCCAAGCCTGTCTGTCTGCTCCTGTCAGCCTGAGAGTGCAGATGGAGCATAGGTGAACACGCCCAGGCGACACAAAGAAAACATAAAAAGGAAACCATTATTGTCAGCCTTGAGGCTCAAGAAAGCCAGGCTGCCTGGGTCAGTTACACAGCCTTCCAGACCGTTGCAGTTTCTCTCTCTTTTTTTTTTTTAAATATATTTTATTGATATTTTACAGAGAGGAAGAGAGAGGGATAGAGAGTTAGAATCATCGATGAGAGAGAATCATCGATCAGCTGCCTCTTGCACACCCCCAACTGGGGATGTGCCCACAACCAAGGTACATGCCCTTGACCGGAATCAAACCCGGCACCTTTCAGTCTGCAAACCGAAGCTCTATCCACTGAGCCAAACGGGTTTCGGCCAGTTTCTCCTTTTAAATCTATTAATTTAAAAGCATATTAATGCCTGCCCAGCATGGCCCAGTGGTTGAGTGTTGACCTATGAACCAGGAGGTCACGGTTTGATTCCCAATCAGGGCACATGCCCGGTTGTGGACTTTATCCCCAGTGTGGGGCAGGCAGGAGGCAGCCCATCAATAATTCTCATCATTGCCGAGACCGATTTGGCTCAGTGGATAGCGTGTCAGCCTGTGGACTGAAGGGTCCCGGGTTCGATTCCGGTCAAGGGCATGTACCTTGGTTGCAGGCACATCCCCAGTAGAGGGTGTGCAAGAGGCAGCTGATCGATGATTCTGTCTCATCGATGTTTCTAACTCTCTATCCCTCTCTCTTCCTCTCTGTAAAAAATTAATAAAATATATATATTAAAAAAAATTCTCATCATTAATGTTTCTCTCCCTTTTCCTCTCTGAAATCAACAATAAAAATTTTTAAAGACATTTAAAAAGTATATTGGTTTTTTATTTCTACCTTAACCACACAGTTAGTGTTTAAAATGCTTTAGGTCAGAGGTCCCGATGAGTCCCCCAGGTAGGTCAATGGTAGGTAGGGCTGCTTTCCTCTGGAGGCCCTGGGGGAATCCCGAGCTTGGCTTTTTCCCCCTTCCGGAGGCCACCGATGCTTGCCTGATGGATCATGAGCCAGACCCTGGGGAAGATGCTTTACCCCCAGAGGACTTCATTCTAGCAAGACAGGTGGAAAGTCTAAAATCAGCACCATAACACAGTGCAGTGCTGTGGGGACGTCTTAGTGTGAGACACAGCACTGCCCAGAGCGGAGTGTGCTGAGCCGGGCCTAGGGCCGTCGGGGTGGCTGCAGTGGAGTTCTGAGGAATTGCTAGGGACTCCCCACAGAGGAGGGGCGACCCAGGAGGAGAAGCTGTGTGGGGAACAACTCAAGGCTGGGCCAGCTCAGTGTTTCCAGGAACCCCGTGTGGGTTGTTGATTTGAGGAGATATTAGGAAGCCAGCCACTAGAAGACCCAGCTAGGAGGGCCCAAGATTAACACATAACTAACTCCCTTGAGATGCCTGTGGAGGCCCGCAAGGGCTGGAGAGTGTTTGCATTTTATGTTAGATGCCTTGACGGTGATCGGGGCAGCTGTGGGGAGCTGAGAGGGCAGTACATAATAGTACAGTGGAAAATGACGAGCTCTAGAAAGAAGGCACAGGTGGAGGGACGAGAGCGAGGGGATGGGATCAAGATGCAGCGAGAAGGCAAAATGATCTGAATGACAGGGATGGAGGAGGGACTGTGGGCAGGCTGGCTTGTCTGGAGATAGAGCTGGGATAGAGTTTAGGGTGTAAGATGTTTTTTAGGGACCAACCTCCATGGAAGGTGGGAGGAGGCCATGGGACAGGGGTAAGGAGAAGTGGGGCTGTATGAAGCCGCCTGTGCCTCAGCCTGGTGAGGAGACTCCCACATGCCCTGGGACCTGAAGGGCCCCCTTTCTCTTTTGCTCCTCTCTCCTCATTCATTCAGCTGCCCGAGGAGCAGAGCCTCCAGCCAAGTGGCATCTGCCTGAGCTCCCAAGGAGTGAACAGTGGAAACCACCGGCACATCACACCCTGGCAGGTGGCCTGCTGTGGGGTCTGGGCAGGGCCCTCTTCATGTCCTGGGAGAGGAATGAAGAGCAAAGGCCAGGCGTCTGACTTGGACAGTGAGCTGAGTGAGGCTCTCCCCTGAGGGTGAAAGCACAGGCAGCCAGAGGGAAGGTGAAGGTGAGGGTGAGGCTGAAAGCCTCTGAGTGCTGGGCGCTGTCATGATGACGTGTGTGCTGAGGAGCATCAGGGCCAGAGGTTGAAATTTGAAGGCCCTGGGTGTGCAGGTGAAGTTGAGCTCTTTGGTAACCAGTGTAAACTTAGGAAGGAAGATCAATAAGAAGGAATTTGAGGAAACTT